GGCTTGGGGGAAAGCCTTATGCTGTGGGGAACAAGCATGTATAAAGCACATTATAATTACAGCACTTGGTATTGAACTTACCACTGGTGTGCATGAGGTCTGTCTGCAGTACAAACCCAGGGTGAAGGAATCCCGCCCTGTGACACTACGTTAAATGAATGTTAAGGTTGCAAAGAAAAGCACATGAAAGTTAGAAAATGTCATTGTTACAATTGCCTGTGCAATCTTATTTTGACCCCATTGCATATGTGCATTATTATAGTCTTGCACAACGTCATATAGAACATAAGAACAGCCATACTGGGTCAGACCAATGGTCCATCTAGCCCAGTATCCTGTCTTCTGACAGTGGCCAATGCCAGGTGCTTCAGAGGGAATGAACAGAACAGGCAATCATCAAGTGATCCATCCCTTGTTGCCCATTCTCTGAATCTGGCAAACAGAGGCTAGGGACACCATCCCTGCTCATCCTGGCTAATAGCAATTGATGGACCTATTCTCCATGAACATATCTAGTTCTTTTTTTAACCCTGTTATAGTCATAGCCTTCACAACATCCTCTGGCAAAGAGTTCCGCAGGTTGACTGTGCGTTGTGTGAAAAAATACTTCCGTTTGTTTGTTTTAAACCTGATGCCTATTAATTTCATTTGGTGACCCCTAGTTCATGTGTTATGAGATGGAGTAAATAACACTTCCTTATTTACTTTCTCCACACCAGTTTTGTTGCCCTTTTCTGTACCTTTTCCAATTCCAATATATTGAAAGTACATGGCAGAGCTTGGGATAGAATCCAACTTTCCTGTATCCCATTTCAGTGCTTGAAACACAAGGAAACATCCTTTCAATCCTAATGCTTAACGTTTGGTAGTTATAAGCAACTAAAAACTGGGGCTTTTCACGCTGTTAGGCAACTTTAATTATGGGCATCTCTACAGCTCTACCCTAAAATACCAATACAAAATGGATATAGTAAATGTGCCTAAGAGTGATTGGATTTGTGGCTGTCCATTTGAGTGCAATTAACAGGAGCTCAGTGAGTGCATTCTGGTTGTTTATATGTTGGAAATACAAGGGGATGTTTTTGTGGAGATGAAAAGTCTGTCAGTGCTTTTGCTTATTGTGTTATGTGTGTATCAAGATGTATAAAGGTTACCTAAAATGGAAGTTTCCTTGCTTTGGCAGGTGTTTCACTTAAGTAACCTTAATTCTGATCAAAGTTTTTGTTTATAGGACTATAGTTAGAGAACTGAAATATAATTTTCATGGGACTCAGGACTTTTGAACAATGTAAAAAGGGAGTCTGACCTTCTAAAGTTCCAAAAAAGGTCATAAAAGATCCAAATACTTTCTGTCCAGGTGGATTCATGACTTCAGTAAAGAGGCATATCTGACTACACTGATTCCATGGATCATGACCCTTAGGAATTGGAGCTCACTCAGCAAAAGAGATGGCAGCTTCCTGATTTGAAGAGGAAGTTAGCTAAGCAGCCATTTAGAATTCAGTCCATAATTTTTCCTGACAGTACTACTGGATGGGTGGAAATGCTTCCTTGGTGGCAGCATTCTGATCACCAGTCCTAGATACCATATTCCAACAAAGCCAAAACTATTTTTTGTCTTTTTGTCAGCAGGTTTTCATGGGCCCTACCTGTGGATAATTATTAAAATGCTAGACAGAGACCTTTAGTGCCAGGTCACAGGAGCATCAAGCCTTTTGTCCCTTACCTGTAAATTTCATTTTGACAAGAGACTTTCCCAATCCACAGTGCTGCATCTGGTGGTTCTGTGACAAATCCTGGATGATGCGGGGGTAGGGGAGGTTGTGTGTCTATATATTTATTTGGGTTTAGTTTAAGAAAAAAAAGCAATCTATCATTTAGCTAAAAAGCAATTCAGATGAGTTTTTAGGGGTGGGCTTGTGGCTGAGCAGTTGTTCAGTGGGAAGGATCAGTCTACTTATGTGTGGGAGGACAGTGGAACAGCCCGTTAGTTCTGGATTAAAGAAGCTTCTTGCAAAAATATAATGTAACGGTAAGGAACAAAATGTCCTTCTCCAGTCGATGTTAAATGCAGCTTTCACCCTTAGCTCATTCCGCCTGTATCTCTTGTGATTAATGCTATTAATCAATGCTATTAATCCAATTTAATTGCTCAGCTGGTTTTAGAAAAAGAGCTCTATAAAAAAAATCATCATATTTTTTTACAGAATGGAAAGATCCCAAATAAGTTTAGAGGCTTTATAGATCTAAAGATTGTATCAGCCTTCTTTTACCAATCTGGAAATTCTACAACTGAGCAGCATTAACTCTAGGATTGATTACAACATGCAGAGATGAAAGGAACTGCTTCAAATTACCAGGGCCTCAAAGCCTTGTTCTGTTTGCCGTATCATTTTTCCTAATTTAACTTACAGTAATGGAGCATTCTTTTAATGTAATCCAAACATGAATACCACACTGAAGGCTCAGACTGTGGCAGGTTTTTTCCCAAAGTTACAGCTCAGTATTTATTTTGAGACTAGATTACAGTGCTTCTGCACACACTTGCCTGGGCATAGAGGGCTATGGCTGCAGTGTGACCAGTATGGTTTTGCTGCATGGAAGAGGAGGATTCAGCGAGTCAGCTCTTTGGGGGCTACCTGAACTTCTCACAAAGAATGGAGATTTGGGGCCCAGAGATTTAGGGCACAGCCATTCCCTTCCATGAAAGAAGGTGTAGTGTTTGAAGGAGCAGCTGCAGAGCTGCTCTCCAAGTGTGGCATGGAGGATTCCTTCATCATGCTGGGTCCCTGCAGACCTTCTCAGTGAATTATTCAGTGTGTGGGATGAGAATAAGATTTGCACCTCTGTGCACAATTGAGGGAGTTTCCAGGCTTCTCTCCTGTTTTTAAAGATCCAGACAAAAAATTAAGCGAAGATAAAAGGCTGAAACATCTGGGAAATTGTTTCGCCAATTAGCATAACAAGATTTTTGATCAACTTAAAACTAAACAAGATTCAACCAACAGAGATTTCTATGTGTATTTACAAGTTAGATGGGTTTAGCAGTCTATATTCGACATAAGCAATTATATCTTATTTTAAAAAACATCTGGAAGAGTCACTCCTATTATGACAGGTATCTAAGCAGGTTCTGTCTAAAATATGTGGCCCTATTATAAATCATGTTTTCAAATACTGTGACAAAGTTCCTCCTCTATCTTGGTGGGTCCTGCGCTTATTGGCGGATTTTCTTGCCTCAGAGATTCACCATGTGGGTTGGGGAACAGCCCAGAGACCTTCCCCTCTGGGAGAACCCACAGTCCAGGTCAATTGGGAGGTTTGGGGGGAACCCAGGCCCGCCCTCTACTCCGGGTTCCAGCCCGGGGCCCTGTGGACTGCAACTGTCTATAGTGCCTCCTGTAACAGCTGCATGACAGCTACAACTCCCTGGGCTACTTTCCCATGGCCTCCTCCAAACACCTTCCTTATTCTCACCACGGGACCTTCTTCCTGGTGTCTGATAACGCTTGTGCTCCTCAGTCCTCCAGCAGCACGCGCACACACACTCTCACTCTCAGCTCCTTGCGCCTCTTGCTCCCAGCTCCTCACACTCCCACCACAAACTGAAGTGAGCTCCTTTTAAAACCCAGGTGCCCTGATTAGCCTGCCTTAATTGATTCTAGCAGCTTCTTCTTAATTGGCTCCAGGTGTCCTAATTAGCCTGCCTGCCTTAACTGGTTCTAGCAGGTTCCTGATTACTCTAGTGCAGCCCCTGCTCTGGTCACTCAGGGAACAGAAAACTACTCATCCAGTGACCAGTATATTTGCCCTCTACCAGACTCCTGTACCCCATTGGTCTGGGTCTGTCACAATACATAAGCCTCAAATGTCTATGGGAGTGAGATTTGCAAGGCTATCCTTACACAATAAACCATGGCTTGAAGCCTTGGCTTACCCCTCTACCTCAGTTGTTACAAATACAATGTAAGTAGATGCAGTTGTTTATATCTTTATTCAGTGGCAGTGCTCCGTCACTTTACAGCTGAAATACTAGCAGACTTCCTTAAACCTGGGGTGAAAAAAGTCAGCACATTGCTTTTGGGAGTGTCTCGTAATTGGAATTTTCTGGACTTCACTGCAAAATTTTGTCAAATGAAAACGAGGACAAATTTTTGGGGTGGATGTAGAAGAGATGCTGGATCCTATCCTGATTCCATTCAAATCATGCTGAGGTTACACCATTTACTTCAGAGGATTCAACCCTTTATCTATGTTCATTTTTGAAAACGACAATACATTAATTTTGCTTGCCTAAAAGAGATTCTGCATTTCAGGACAAAACCTGTTGCTCCTTACTCTGTCAACTTGGTTAAAAGAATTTAAAACATATTTGGACCTACTGTGGATTAATTTACATCTTTAATGGGACAAAAGAGGAAACTAGATTATTAGTAAAATATGTCTTACTTCCAATAGTTACTGTAAACCAGTGGTTCCCAAACTTGTTCCACCGCTTGTGCAGGGAAAGCCCCTGGCGGGGCGGGCCGGGCCGGTTTATGTACCTGCCGCGTCCGCAGGTTCGGCCGATCACAGCTCCTAGTGGCCGCGGTTCGCTGCTCCGGGCCAATGGGAGCTGCTGGAAGCGGTGCGGCGGAACAAGTTTGGGAACCACTGCTCTAAATAGTTGTTTCAGTCCAAGTTCCAACAGTGAGTACATCTTGGAGGCTGAGTTGTGGATTCCTGTGTTTGATGGCATCCATATTATAGATAGATGTAAAGTTAAACATTGTAAATAATTAATAGTAATAATGTATAATTAAGTAGTTAAATCTTTTAAAGATGTTTTCAAAACTTTATCATTTATAATTTTTATTTTTATGTAATAAAACAAAAATTTTAAAATATATAGATTTGTGCCTGTTATTATGTATGAAGAAGACCTCTTCCAATTAAACAGCAAGGAAGGCAAAGAGTATGGTTTAGGGATTCAGTGGTTTTCATGCCTGTTTGTTTTGCAGAACAAGGAGTATGTATGTCGAGGCCATGACTACGAAAGGCTGGAGACCTTCCAACAAAGAATGCTGAGTGAGTTCCCACAAGCCATTGCAATGCAGCACCCAAACCATCCAGATGACACCATTTTGCAATGTGATGCTCAGTGTATCCTTTCATAAAGGCAGCCTAATGTTAATCAATGTAGGGAAAGGAAAACGGTTTCATTTTAGAAGATCTTGGTTCATCTCTGGCTTTAGTGATAAGTTGGAGATGATGAAAATCATGACACCTGTGTTTAGTGGATATTTATCTACATCATTGCACACCAGTTGGACATAATTGTCACTTTTGCTTAGGGAATACTCCAGGTCATGGCTGATATACATTTTCAGGACTGTGTGGGAAGACGTGCACAGGGCCCAGTCTGGTCCGTGACACTCGCTCCCTTATTGAACATTACATTTCACCAAACATCCACCCAGCTACCTTCTGCAATTCCCCAAGAGAGAACTGTGCAATTAGATTCATACCTATTCTCGACATACTTTCCATTTTGTTTGTTTTTCACTTCACCTTCCTTTTACATTGCACATTCCTTTCCATCTAGACTATCTGCCTCTTTTATGCAGTACATCAGACTTTGAGTCCACTTCATCCCATTGATACTAATCTGCATTGTGAATTTAAATGCAGACAACAAAAGTAATATTGCTCTGCAGTATCTGAGGACTAGACCACACAGCATTTGTTTGAGAATGTGACATTTTAGGTGAGATGGGAGGGGAAGATTGCTCGCTGGCTCCTATTTCACTAGTTACGATAATGAACAGTACTTTGACTTTACTAACTAATAGCCTCAAGTTAAATTTACCAAGAGTAGAATGGTCAGTATTTCCCACTCCTACTGCTGCCTTCCGTCCCTGACAGAACCCACTTTTTCCTTGCTGTGTGATGCTGAAACACCAAATAACAAGGGTTTGTTTTGGGTTGTGATCATTTGGGTTTTCTTTGCTTTGCTTTCTAATGCCTTGTCTAGACACAAATTGCATGAGTTTAATTAAATCGGTTTCTAAACTGATTTTGTTAAATCAGTACAACCTGTGCATGTAGACAAAGCCTAAGTAAAGGCCAGATTTTCAAAGGTATTTAGGTGCTGAAAGATGCAGCCCAGATGCCTAGTAGGGTTTACAGAAGTGCCTAAGCAAGTTAGACGCCTATCTTCCTTTATCATCAATGGGAATCAACTGCTTAGGCACTTTAGCAAATCCCATTAGGTGCATATTCGGTTGCCTAAATGCCTTTGAAAACCTGGCCTGAAGTTCCTACAACACTGTAGAGTCCCCTGGCTCTGGAGATGCGAGCCCAATGAGTTGCTGCTACCTTTGAAGCAGAAGTGAAAAGGAGAGGTGTGTAATGGAAGGAAAAGGGAAGCATGGATTTCACACTTTCTCCATCGTTTTTCTTTTGGTAACATGTGACATCCCTAAGGGAGTCACGTTTTGTCTCATTGTTTTCTTATTTGATGCCTCCGTGTGTTTCTTTGACTCCTCATTTTGCAGATTTACAGATATATGCAGTGACTCCCATCCCAGACAATATTGATGTGCTACAAATGGAACGTGTGCCTGATCGTATAAAGAGCTTTTATCGCGTCAACAACATCAGGAAATTCCGCTATGATAGGCCTTTCCACAAAGGTCCAAAGGACAAAGAGAATGAATTTAAGGTAGGAGCACTCAGTAATAGTAACTAAATTTTAATCTTTCCAGGGCAGGTAGTGTCTTCCTCTTCTGCATTTGTACAGTGCATCACACAATGGGGCCCTAATCCTAATTTGGTGCTGCAAGATGTTGTTTTAATTCAAATAAAATGCAGGACTGTTGAGCCCAATGGTTGCACACCTGGTATAAGTAAAGCCTACTCTGTTTAAAAGGTACTTGTGGCAGTGCCATGGAGAGGGATTCTGAAGCAATGGGGCTTGCTCTGTTGATTGACATATTACTCAAAATGCTTTCTTAGTTCCCTGCTAATTGATATTAGAGCTAGGGTCTGAGGTCTAGAAACTAACTGAAAAGTGTGATGCATTGCTTTAAAGCACACTGAGTTTTTTTCTTTGTGTTTAAATGTAAAGCAAACTTCAGTTTCATGTTACATTCCATTGTGGAAAACATAATATCTGCTCAGAGTATTAATGCACTCTTCTATTCAGCAACTCCTGAACAACTGCAGTGAGAATAAGAGTGTACGATCCTGATTCACTGGATCCCCCACTTACTGTATTCTTTGCAGAGCTTGTGGATTGAACGTACCACTCTGACACTGACTCACAGTTTACCTGGGATCTCCCGGTGGTTTGAAGTGGAGAGAAGAGAACTGGTAACATTTGTTATACTTGTAACTGGGATTTGAATGGATAGTTTCTTCAGAATGAAGGATGGGCAATTTAAAGTCTCTTGGCTGGGTCTTGCAGTTGAAAAAAAATCATGCTTCACTGGTGGCTATTGCAGAATCCATTCCCAAAGCCAAAATAATTGCTAAACATAACAAGAGGAGCAGTGTGAAGGGAACAGAGCAGTCAGAGTAAGTGCCAGTGAGGTGCGATTCTGAATCTTGACAGCATCTTCAGTCAGTTATTCAGAGACATGTGACAGCTATTGTAACTGCTAAGATGAGTGCGCAGTGAGGTGAACTGAGATGTATTGCTGACACACAGTAAAACTGTTGTGAAAAGCCATCATAACAAAATGACTAGCTAGTCTGCACATCAGAAAAAAATCGGAAGGGTCATCAAGCAGTAGTAGGAATTGGTTTCATAGTAAGGAAGGGAACATGGTGGCAGTGAGGTGTCCGTGGCATTAAACTATTCTTTGTTGCCTTGTAGGTCGAGGTGAGCCCTTTGGAAAATGCCATTCAAGTTGTTGAGAACAAAAACCAGGAGCTGAGGACATTGATAAGCCAGTATCAGCACAAGCAAATGCATGGCAACATTAACCTGCTCAGCATGTGTCTGAATGGAGTGATTGATGCAGCTGTGAATGGTGGCATAGCACGGTACCAAGAGGTAAGCAAGGACTGTACCTCTGAGTTTAGTATCAACCTATTAGCAACTTTTTCCAAGTAGCATTTCTCCTGCTGTGTTGAAAAGAGCATGACATAATAAAAAGTCAAATATAAGAAATTACCCCTTTGTGCCCAGTTTTCATACTTGTGATCTAAACAGGATGCTGAAATCCCATGTTTAGTTGTTTATATATCAGCACTTGGACATGTAAATCCTGTTGTATGTAGCTAAGTGTTGATGTGAATGTCCAGATATGGGTTCTGGATGTCCTGTTTAGATGGCCACAGTTGAAAACTCAGCTTCTCAAGTGTGAATTCTGATTGACACGGCAAAGCTGATCTTGCATGTACAATAGTGAAACAGGCCGTTTATATGCTGCTACATTGTAAACACATTTTGCAAAGCAGGCAGTGGGACTCGCTGTCTGTGCTGATGGAGACTGAATGTGATGAGGTTCCTGCTGAGGGAAAGTTGCTGGCTGGCACTTCCAAAGAGTTGTCTTTGCCAGACCGTGTCCAGTATAGTCTTAGTCCTAAGGGGACCTAATGTGCTGTTTCCTTCACCAGGAGTCAGTTAAAGATGTATGTTGCAAACAGGGCCAACGAGAGGGGAGGGAAGCCGGTACAAATTACCGGGGCCCGGCAGTCCGGAAGGGGGCCTGGGACCCGGCTTCCCCCCCTCTCATCGGCCCTGTTTAGCCGGTCCGCCCTTGCTGGGGGGCCTGAAAAAAAATTTTCACCGGGGCTGAACCCGCTCTCGGCGGCCCTGGTTACAAAAGGGAGCTACAGAGACACATACTGAAAAATTATGATTCTGGTCCACATTTTTGGGTTGTGTGTGCCCTGCAGAGAAGCATAGAAAAAACTCTTCATCCCTTACATTATTTACTACTTTAGTCACTCATTTCCTACAGTTTCTTGAGATACTTAAATGAAAGAAGCTATATAAAATTCAAGTAATGGGCTTAATGATAGTGCTCTGCACTGTCATGTGGGGAGATTTGATTAGATTCATGATCCTTTGGGGCTGGGAGGGAATACCTTATGCTACTCAACAGTGATCCCTTTGACTAATTGAGGAGCAGAATTATCTAGGCAGCTAAAATTGTGGTACTGTAGCTTCACCTAGGTCCCAAAATACTAGAAGAGATCAGTTAAATGGACTTTTCTGTTTGCTAAGTGTACTTGGATCCCCTAGGATTTCTGTTCCTTCTTCTCTCCCTCTTTGACATATGGTCATAATGAAATGTTTCCTAATAAGGAGATGATTTGTCTTTCTCCCACAGGCCTTTTTTGATAAAGATTATATCACCAAGCACCCTGGAGATGCAGAAAAAATCACACAGCTCAAAGAGCTCATGCAGGAACAGGTACTGCAGTGCTTTTAAAGATGAAGGAAGAATGCTGTGATAGTGTGTGGATTTCTCAGCAATCACTTTGCAAACCCAGAGCGAAATAATTCATTCAGAAGCAAAGAAACACAAGAGCTTTGCAGTATATTTAAAACATAGGGAAGTGAGAAGGCCAATGAATTATTAATGCACTAGCCTTTCACCTCTATAGACCTGAGTTGAAGCCTGATTTAGATAACAAATTAAATGAGTGTGGCTTCTCCTTTTATTAAGCAATGTATGTCTTTCTACATTACAAAACTACCCAGCATTTTGGGACAATTAGCAACCTCTTCTCAGTGGAGTCTCAGGGTAGACATAGTAAGGGTGGCACATGGATGACCGAGATATGTTGGCAGAACCATGTGAGAAAGCATATACAGAGCCTATTTGCAGGGCTGGCTCCAGCTTTTTTGCCACCCCAAGCGGCAAAGCGGATAGATATATATAGATAGATAGATAGATATAGATATAGATATATATAAAGCCGATCGGTGGCACTTCGACGGCAGCTCAAAGAGGAAGAGAGGGACTGAGGGACCTGCCGCCGAAGACCCAGACGTGCTGTTCCTTTCCATTGGCCACCCCAAGCACCTGCTTCCTTTGGTGGTGCCTGGAGCCGGCCCTGCCTACTTGCACTATCCCTGACTCTATCCAGTGTTCTCAGTGTCTCACTTGCACAAACATATCAAATCTCACCAGATAGGTTGTAAATCAGTGATGTGATGAGAAAGAAAAGTCATATCACTGTTAAAAGAATGATTAGCAAAACATTTACCCCCTCCCATAACACAAGAGCCAGGGGTCACCGAATGACATTAATAGGTAGCAAATTAAAAACAAACAAAAGGAAGTACTTCACACAATGAACAGTTCACCTGTAGAACTCATTGCCAGGGGATGTTGTGAAGGCCAAAACTATAACAGGATTCAAAAAAGAATTAGATAAGCTCATGGAGGATAAGTCCATCAATGGCTGTTAGCCGAGATGGTCTGGGGTGCAACCCCATGACCTGGATGTCCTAAGCCTCTGACTGCCAGAAGCTGGGAGTGGACAACAAGGGATGGATCACTTGAGGATTACCCTATTCTGTTCATTCCCTCTGAAGCATCTGGCATTGGCCACTGTTGGAAGACAGGATACTGGGCTAGATGGACCATTGGTCTGACCGGGTATGGTCATTCTTAAGCTATATTCAAAAAGTCTGTCCAAGTTTGAATGGAGTTTGAGGATTATTCAGCAGAGGTAACAGACTTTGAGGGTCACTTAATCCCTGTGTATCTCAGATTTTCCATCTGCAAAATAAGGTTAATGGTTATTTTACCAATACTCAGAGGGAGTCGTGAGGATCAATTAGCTACTACTTGTACATGATGTAAAGTATATAAATGCTAAGTATTATTATTAAGTATTACTGTGCTCTCTTATCTGAGAGTGTATATAACCCTACTCACTATTATATTTATGACCTTTAAAAATGGGACCTTTATGAATAAATAAATGAGCAATAGAGAGCCAACGGTTAGTAGTGTACATGCAGCTTTGCCACTATTCAAATTAATTGTAGACAATTCCCCTACAAATCTCCATTAGCAACTTTGATCCCTTGTCTGACATTATGTGAAGATACGGAGAAAGGGAATTTCCTGTGTCACAAAGAGCTGTCGGAGTGAGGACTCAACACTGTTTGCACTGCAGAGTTGTGGCGGGGCAGGACTCACCGGTGCAGCGCCTCCTGCTGGTCGTCCTGGGAATTAGCTCTTCCAGCCCAGAGCGCCCTCTGCAGGCCAGTGTCTTGCCTGCCGCTGGCCCCCGTGTCCCTCCCGGACCCCGGTGCTCCTCTACATCAGGGTTCTGCCTCCAGCAGTAACCACCAATCTGGGCCTCCCAACCCTCTATTCCCACCTTGCCTCAGTGGCTAGTGCCAGTCACCATCTAGCCCCCGCTCCCTGGGGCAGACTGCAGTCTATAAACCAGTCATCATCAGCAAGGGGGGTTGGACCAGGTGCCTCTTCCTATCTCTGGGCTGCCCCTCTGCAGCCCCAGTACCTTTTGTAGGCCTTTAACAAGGCCTGCAGCCTTGGATTTTACTAGGCTGGAGCTCCCCAGCTCCCTCTGCCCTTCCCCAGCACTGCTCCGCCCTAGGTACCCTGCTCAGCTCCCAGGCAGCCAGGTCTTTCTCTCTCAGAAGCTAGAGAGAGAGTCTCCCTAGCTTCTGGCCCATAGCCCTCTTATAAGGGCCAGCTGGGCCCTGATTAAGCTGGCCACAGCTGTGGTGAGCTACCCAGTCAGCTTCCCCAGCTGTTCTTAATCCCTTTCCCTGCTGCAGCCCTCTCCTGCTTTTAATCACTTTTCTGCAGGAGTGGAGCAGCTGCCCCACTACAAGAGTGAATCAATTTTGTCATTTTTTTATTGTTCTCTCTTGCAACTGTAAATCCAACATGTCACAAATGTGGTTGTCTCATACTTAAAATGTATGTTAAACACATACTTGTCAGCTTTCTTATGTTTACTAATTTTCAGCAATCTTGCAAATGAACAATAGACTATTTTACAGATCTCTCTCACTCGCTGACCAAACTTGAGGATATAATTATGTAGTGTCTTCTAGGCTGAATGAAGATGTTCTTGATTCATGATGTTATAATTTCTTTTTTTTTTAATAGGTGCATGTTCTTGGAGTGGGTCTGGCAGTACATGAGAAATTTGTACATCCAGAGATGCGTCCTCTACATAAGAAACTGATTGATCAGTTCCAAATGATGCGATCTAGTCTGTATCATGTAAGCTAATCCCCACCACCACCACTTCCGGGTCATTGTCAGTAGTACAGAGCCATGATAAAATTCATTCAGTTGCAATGAGATGCACACAGGAACTGGACAAAAGTAGTGTATATTAAACCTATGGGATTGTCTAACTCTTACAAGAAACCTTGTTTCCAGTGCAAGAATTAAAGCCCAAAAAGATTTGCAAACTGAGCCTTTAATATAGTCCCTGGGATTTTTCAAGGTCCCTCTCCTCTAATTTATGTCACTGGTGATATGGCAGAAGGTCTGTGAAGCTGAATACTCACACTGTCTTATGTAACGTAGAGCAAAATTTTGCCCTTATCATAGGGTGCTGTGCCAGGGGTGGAGAGAAAGATGACTAGACAGTACTAGTTGCCCATCTCACAAAACAGCCATCCTGTTGCAACCTGTTGAATGCAGCATAGGTGCCACCCAGATGCGGGGCTGGACACATTCCCTGGTTGGCAGATCATACTCAACAATGAGCTGTGCAGACCAGGATGTTGATGGGATATGCCTTCTAGTCATCTTTTGTGGGAGAAGTTCTTTCCTGCTCCCTGCACTGGGGGATGGAAGTCCTCTCACCAGACAAGGACAGCAGTAGAAGGCAGAGGATCAGTTCCATAGTCAGAATGCCCTTGTCTCTCGTAGGCTTTTTAGACTGAAAAGTCCAACCATTAGTCCAGTGCCGCAATGATGGGAGAGCTAATGTACATAGGGCACCAACAGCTGCTGATGTTTTTACCTCCATACCATAGAAATCTGTTCAGGGTAGATAATTGGCAGTCACCGTTTCACATATATGAATCATATTTTATGTGTATTTTATTCTATAACAATAGAAAGAACAAATAGGGGCTTCCACTTTAAAATGTGCTTTAGGAAATTTCAAAGTGAATCTCCAGTGTTGAAATAGTGGGGCCTGTTTAGTGTGTTGTTTAACCAAGTGTACATGATTTGATTTCCATTTAGTTTTGTTGGGAGATTTAAAAAGAGCTTGCCTCTTGGAACTGCTACTGAAGTCATTACTTTGCTAGCACATTTGCCACTCAGCTGTCCTTAGTGAGGGGAGACAGTCCATTTTATGTAATTATCACTTCTTAAAATTCACTAGCACAGGACATCCATGGTTATTTAAGAAGATACAGACTATAAGTTAGCTTCAATAGCACATAATAAATAGGTACGTGATGCTAATGTGTTGTCACTCAGAAGAGTTGTGTGATCAGAAGTTTTTTCTTGCCAATTTGTTTGAAAGCTTAATAAGAAGTTAATTATACAAAAAGCAAACTGTGCTGCCTCTCAGTTACTAGTGTCTCAAGATTTGGCTGAAGCTGTAAAACCAAACAACTCAGAATTAGAAAAGTTAACGCTGTGTAAGATAAAGCTCATTTAGAAGACTGCTCCTGTTCTGTTTGAAGAAAACTGATCACATAGTAGTCTCATGGTCATCTCTTCCCTATGGCCAATTTATCCCCTATACATCCCACCCTAATCCTCAATATTCTGAGGCACATCACTGAAAAGGCAACACCTGTTGGCGATGGGGAGGAGAAATAGAACAGTCATAGAATAATCATTAGTGTCTCTGCAAGTGCTGACTGTCTGATTAATGTTTTTTTTTATCAGTGGTTCATGCAGAGTCAGTGATCCCAAGACAAGTCTAAATTTCTCTGCTTCTCAGATTGTTAATAATGTTGTCAGACATCATAGAGAAGCCATAGACTCCACTGTCGCTTGATGTCCACTTGTCCCTTTATGCTGTTTTATTCTTCAGTGCTCTGGGACAGCTCCTTGAGGTGTTTGGGTTAAATGCATCCTAAGAAATGGCAGACCACTTATCTATTCATAGTACAGTGTCGTTTTCACAGATCTCTTGACTCCCTCATAAACATTTTAAAAAACAAAGAAGGAGCAGCTTTCAAAGATTTAAGAAAACATTTTTAATTACATATGCTAGAATTTTACATTATACGCTGAAAGGCAAATCCACATTTTCTAAGTGTTAGCTATGTGAGGATGGCCACAAATGAGGCCTCCAGAATTCTACAATATGGCCACCTTTAATATGGAGATGTGGTCCCCATAGATTACAGCTCCCAACCTGCAGTTCCCTATCTTTGTACAAGTGGCTGGGCCACACTACATGTGGGTATTTGTGTTCTCTGCACACCTATCTTCATATTAAAAATGAAGGCAGTCGCAATCTGCTCCATTGTATGGCTAAGCTTCCAGCAAGTTGCTGAGAAGGTGCCTGGGAATTGTTGGTAACAAGCTAATTAAGTTAGGAGTGAAGAGGTCTGAAAGCTCTTGGGCTAATTGCAGAACCATAATAGCTTTGTGAAGAACATAGTCACAGATTTATCTCCAATCTTTTGACAAAAAGGGAAAGTTTATTCCCCTTTTCCCATGATCAAGCCCAAAATTTCTGAAGTAAATAAGTGATTTTGTATTTCCTATGTAGGAGTTGCCTGGTTTGGATAAATTGAGTCCAGCCTGTTCTGGTACCAGCACCCCACGCAGCAGTGTTCTTGTGTCACACGGCCCAATGAGTCCAGAGAGCATCAAGCTGGTGCATCGACACAGGTACCTGTTTTTCTGCTGTAATCTCTAGAATGTCTAACAGTTTAAGCAGAAAGTTCTAAATGTACCATTCTGTACTGGCATGGGTTCTCAAAACTCCATGGAAGGGCAGAGAGAGACTTTAATAAAGTTTATGGGCCCCAGTAAGCCTAGCCTCATAGGTGGCTAGAAATACTGTGGAGGCAGCAACATAAGCCTTTGTAGAAAGTGTTCCTTTTGTTAGTCTGCAAAGAC